CGGGGGAGGTAAATGACAGAAGAAACGTGTGTGAAAAAGAGACAACTTAGGCCATTAGCGTATTTTATTCTACTTTACCATACTCAATTACTTATTTCGGGTCTAATAATAACGTGAAATCTGTAGAGTATTTTCATGATAAACTTCAATATGTTTTATCTGCCTTAAATAATGAATAACTGCATAAAAAAGAAATATAATAATAACAATATTTTTTTTTTATTGTAAGCTATCCATTATCAGAGATGATGGACAGTATTCTGCTCCCCGGTTTTCAAATATTGCGTGTTGTAAAACATTATCGATTTGGTATTGCCGCTACTTCTCAGATCTCCAAACAAAAACATTCTATATAATTCAGAAAATTATATGATGATAAGATAGAGTTACATCTATTATTACGCAGGTTAGGTGTGTGTGTGAGTTTGGTTTTTGTCCTTGACAGATTTCCTTGGGGCAGGGAGTGTGCATTTTACTGGACGGTTTCTCCAATTTTACGTCTTATTCATTTATAGTTATTTTATTCGCAATTGCTTTTACTTAATTCAGCCAAAGTCTGGTCATAGACACACGAGTCATGAAATTAATTATTCGCCACAATAAACATCAGCATTGCCCGCTTACTTCTGCATCACGCTTTCTAGGAGCATGGCTTGCTTTTATTCAGAACCGAAAAATAAACAAATACAAATGTCATGATGCAGTTAAGACTAGAAGTGTATTATCAGGCTTAACCAGACAGACCTCGCGTGATCATCATGTTTCGGTATTGCATGTTGTAGTCTATGTGTTGACACTTCACCTTTTATCTTTATCATGCACATCGTCACTGATCTACTTGTAATATTCCCAGCAATGAACGCACACGTTCACATGCATATAGAACGCCTTCTTAATTAAGTGAAACGAGTATGTTGAAAAGAGGTTTCTCCTTTGGCCAGGGTACAGAGGGAAATCTCACGCTGGTCCATCCTTTCTTCGTTCAATACGTGTTTTCAAAGGTAAAGTTTATACACTTTAAAGGAACAAACACACAGCTTTATTAGTTGCGCCGCAAGTCAAATTATTTTTGTTGTTACAAAACTAAATATTTGTTTCTTAGCATTCCAGTTCAGGTAGGAATGCACTACTCAATCACGTGCTATATCTAACCAGGCATGACAGCACCCTGAAGCGAGCTGCATTGCTGAGGCCATTAATGGGGTCGACTCTCCTCCCACTAGCCCAATAGGTGAGAACTCCTTTTCCTGGAGAATTGGTTGTTGCCTTTGACCTCTTGGATCGTTACAGGTACATATAAGCAAGGTCAGGACCGTCAGCCTGGGAAAATGTACACAGCAGGACGAAGTTTTATATTTAAGATTTATATGATCAATAAAATCGTTATATGGCCATCGTTATTTGCTTTAGAATAGTTTATCTTGTTTCCATATTTTAATAAAATCTGCGATAAAAGTTATCAGTGGATGTGTGAAAACTTGTCTAGCTGATCATGCAACTACTTGTAATTGTATTCAAGAAGCATTTTTGGAATAGTGCAGTAGGTGCTAGTCACACCGATTTTTGACGTATTCTGTTTGACTTAATGACACGTCAAAATTCAAGGCACAACCCTACTTAGTAGATATAGAGTTATGCATCTGAATGATGTAAAAAAATACAAAGGTAGCAGTGTATTATAATAAACCAGTTAGTGTAAAACAGTTTGTCGTATGCAGACATGCATATTTACACGTTACTTTTCAACAAATACCCCTTAGAAATATATTAAGTGTATGAGTTTAAAGAAATTCTAAGTGATTTATTATACAGAAGATCCATAAACATTAATTTTACCTGTTGCAAGATATTTCCTATTCTTAACATTGCCCTCCTAGCATCTACTTTATGTCCTGCTAAATTAAGTATTAACGTTTTTAAAGTCACATGATCGATAATGAATAGCGAGATAAATAGGTGAAAACTTAGTTTATTAAAACCTATTAGCTGTGCTTCAGATATTTTATTAACTAAGTCTGACGAAGGACATACCTGAAACGTTTTCATAAATTAAATGGTTGTTCTGAAACGTGGTTTTTATTCGTTTCAATAATCTTTCAAATACTTTTACACGTCTTGTGTAACATCTGCAATGTGCTTCCCTGCACAATAATGGATCATCGTGTATACAAGCAATTCCAAAGATTTCAACTTTTGTTTCATAATTTTACTCGGGTTATATGTTACCCAGTTAGCCACGCACCTTAGTAAATATTGAAATATAATAAACTATGGAAAACATTTGCTTATAATGGATACAAATAAAACTACATGATCACCTCAGATAACATGAGAAAATAAAGCTAATTTAGACCATGAAAATACTTGATTATTATTCTTATAAATAATGTAACACTCCAACCGGTGACAATCTTTACCAACGACGTAACTGAGTTGAAAAAACTTGATATTGTTTGAAACTACACTTGTTCGTGTGAAACAATGTTTTCACATAACGTTTCACACAATCGCACATACTTAGTGAGCACTAATGTAGGTTGAGAAGGCCTGTAAAAAGGAAAGAGCTTGTGATTTTCTGTATTAGATAATCACTAATAAGATGCAGTTTCAAGATAATTCCTATATATTCCTTTATATTAATGTAATTAGTTTTAGACATCTAATTTCAGAAAGCAGTATTAGTGTACAGACTTTTATCAAACTAACTAGCGCCCTCTAGTGTATTATATTATTCCTGGAAAAGCTGCTCAAGGACTTACAAGGTTGTGTTGAATGCTGCAGAACTAGCTCGTGACAACCGTGATATTTAACGTGTCAACAGTGTATATCAATAAGTAACACATGTTTCAAAGTAGGTGTGTGATATACCTATGCTTAGATTGGAGCTTGTTATCTCCTCACTTAAGTATCTGGAGTTTGATCGAACAACAGCATGAAAATATCAGCCATATTCTACAGCATTACGTTTACATTAAATATACAAGACATGGGGCCATTTCGCTGTGTTGATTTTCCTGATACAAATTCCACTTCAGGTATTAGACTTTGATTTCACATTCCTGGGCTCTGTTCTTGTTTGTGTAATCTTTTGGTTTACCATTCCAGGTTAAATATACATTCATTAGAAAAGTGACGTTGCTAAAAACATGCTTGCAGTTTTTCTTGTTTTAGTCGTTGGGAATTTTTTATAATACATTGAAATATGCCTAAAATTCTAAATCAAATCTTATTTAAAAAAAAACAAAAACGTATACCAGTTGTAATATAATTTCCCAAAATCATTAGATATTTTCAGTACTAATAATTGGCGACACATGATACATTAACGAACTTGTCTCTCGAAACACATTTATAAGACTAGACTGCTTAAAAATATTCAACTAAAATATATCATAGCTTCGGAGTGTCTACAGGTTTTATTCCACTAGAAACTTAATTGTAAGCTTAATTGAAATATTTTGCTATATTATTTATGATTTTCCATCCATATGATGAAATCTGTGTCCAATTCTAAAACAAATTCTTTACCTTAAGGTATCAGTTAGAAATCATACTGAATATTTCACCGAACGAATTTGTTGGCTCGGGGGCTCACAAATATAAAGCTAAATAATAGACTTTAACTTAGTGAAAGGGTGTAAACTTCAAACAAGCTAATTTCAATCCATATTAAAAATATACAGAGAAAATATTCTTGTTTTGGTGTCGTAAGAATATGTTTATTGTCCCTAAAACCAATTAAAGTTTTAACCAGAAACTTGAGTTCAGTACATGACGCCATGCTCATCACGCACTGCACGTGTTAGAAATGCAGTATATAAATAAAGTATAGTTTAGCTTCTATTAAACAATTCAACATTACTAAGTAGAAACTCAAGCACTTAAAGTGTTAATAATATCCATCAATAATAATCATAATAGTGTAATAAGGTTATGAAGATTAAAATCAGTTTTACCCGACAGAATATCATAACATAGTTGGTGAACTACACATATATAATAGCACTATCACCACGCTGAATTAATGCCACAACAACAGAAATCAGTTTAACATTAGCTAACGCCGCAAGCTAAATATTGAGTTCGTATGTGAATATACATTAATTATTTGAGACGAAAATGACAAAAGATTGAATATTTTATCTGATTAGCGTGTTATCCAAAAATAGATACACCTAAAATTATAGCTCTGTTGAGACACAACTGTGATTAATTCTTCAAATGAAAGATTTATTGTCTGATAAAACGTATATGCATATATATGTGTGTACAGTTAAAAGTGACAGTTGCTTTAAGACATTCTATTTTATTTTTCTGGTTAAAAGTTGTTTTTCTGCACTTAAAAAGGCAAATGTTTTAAAATAAAAGTTTTTGTTAAAGATCTTTTATGTATGCATTTAAACTGAAGACACGTTGAGGAACTACTGGCGAACGTCAGAGCATATCCCTCAGAGCTATATAGCTAATTTCTTAACAGGTCTTTAGGTCAAATTCCAAAAAAAAAAAAAAACTAATTACAAAATTTACAAAACTATTACGCATCTGTGTGAGTATAATTAATCATAAACATTGTAACAATGCATGTGTAGGGGCAACAGAGATACAGCCTCATCAACGAGAACAAGTTGAAGATGGCAAAAATGTCAAATCACATTGCATCAAGAATGTTCGTATGTGATGTCTATAAATACTATCCCAAGTCAGTTGGCTTTAGTATCTTCATTTACGCTTAAATTGTGATGATAATAAAGCCAATAAGAATGTTGATTAAGCATTATGTATTTTTCTTACTTGAAAAGGATAATATGAAGACATAGAATAAGAGAATAACATAAAATATGTCAAATGAATCTTCTTAACACAACAAGTCACTAAATAGAATTACTATTTAAGTCTGTCTGCTGTAACAATAAATTATGAAATTTTGCATTTTCACCTACAATACGTTGCTTTTTTTTACATAAAAGAGCAGTATTTGTTTTACAGTTCTTGTTACTTACTTGGATATTAACATGTGGCGTTAGCTGGCAAGCATGAGAGGCTGGGCTCTGGCACAGGGTACAAGAGGCCGTGGAGTGAAGCGGTGGGCGGCCAGTACAGCCGGGAAGTGCTTGTGCTCGGCTCGGGAGAAGTTGACAAATCTTGGCTAGCTGCAACACAGCTTCTCCTGGTCACAAACGTGCCAACACCGACAGCTATCTCTCGCATGCTTTCTGTCAAGAGCCAACTATCTCGGGAAGCTCCTCGGCACCCGGTAATTCCCACGTAGTTTTGGCACTATCTCTGCACGAGGAGAGACAACTCCTAGCTAGCGTTAGCACAACGGAATGAAAAAGAAATTTTCAACACGCCAGAACTCCAAGTTACCTAGTCTATGGTGGCATTGATTAATCAGCGTTCTTGTTTCTCTTGATGTGATTGAACAAGAAAACTGAAACTACTCTACGACACCGAGGAAACTGGAAAACTGAAAGCTCATTCCACGTGCTCCGCTGTACCCAGTGAGGCGCTACTGTCACGTGAGTCTAGAAGTTATCAAATCAGAGAGATTTGGCCGCTATAGGTTCATCTGCTACGTAACTAGAAAAGCGGCAGATGACAGAAGAAAATAATAATAAAAAAACGTAACGCAATATGTATTCCTAGTTGCTTTAGGACTTGAAAAATATCGAAAATTGTTGTTTTTAGCTATATGAACCTAAATATATATATATATATTTATTTATTTATGAGGACTGGTAATGGTAAAATAATTTTGATTTCTTAGTCTCATTGTGAACGTTTTCTCACAGAAAAGAAGAGTTACAGAAAGTGAGGGAACTTGATGATTCATGCAAAATACCCCCTTCCAAATCCAAAGAAAAAGGCAATAATTAAAAATAAAGATCAGGACAGAGAAGTGAATTTGCTCGAGAACGATAATCAAATACCGTTTAGTGTGAATCTAAATAAACTCTACGATAAACGCTTTACATTAAATACCAACACAAAATCTTCCACTTCTCTCGTCACTTTTGGTTCCAGTCTTATTTCTTAATGCAGAACAAAGCCACAAATATTATGAATGGTAAATTAATTTCTGAAAATATGAATTTTACTATAACAAAACATATACCACTAATAAATTTACAAGCTGGTGTTGACTAGTTCACGGGTGTGGGTGTTAAACACTTCGTCTCTATAGTAACAGCGTGAAATTTATAGGATTGAGAAATATAAAAAACATCCTAATCTCGCCTTTCCAGGTATTTGCTACAATGTTAACAATAAACGTAAATATCAGACGTGTTCTTTGACTCAGCCCTCGATCATAGCTTGTTCGTCTCTTCAAGTTGGTGAAATGTTAGAAGCAAAGTGTGTGTTTTATAAAGAAACAATGGTATGAAATTTAGTTACTGTCACTACATGGTTTCTTTGCTTTTTATATCTATAATGTTTTGAAAATTTATGACACAGAGAAATCTTTGAAAATATGGGTGCATTTGTTGCCTCGTGCGATGTTAACTGCCCGTTCGAAAAGTCTCTGTGAATGTGTGTAAAAGTTTGAAACTCTGTGACTCAACTTACTATATAGTATAATAGAAACATCGGTGTATAAAAAAATACTAAGCAAACATTCTCATCTAAAATCATAAGCATCGACATTATATAACATTCCTTTTCACCAATGTAGTTAGACTGATGAGAACTGATATAACATCCCTTTTCACCAATGTAGTTAGACTGATGAGAACTGATATAACATCCCTTTTCACCAATGTAGTTAGACTGATGAGAACTGATATAACATCCCTTTTCACCAATGTAGTTAGACTGATGAGAACTGATATAACATCCCTTTTCACCAATGTAGTTAGACTGATGAGAATTGATATAACTTGGTGTTTTTAATTGGCCATGTTAAATTCTGTTAGTTATGTATGAGATATTACGTTTATTTTTCTGACCGATGAACCATATTCATTTTACCTTCATTTATTATTAATCGTTATGTTGTGAATCACAACGATTATAGTGAGCATCACTGGCGTTTAAAAAGTGTCAACAGTAGTTACCTCTCTGATAATTAGTTACAGTATGATTCATGCAGGCTTTGTTCTTTCAGTATTAAGAACTTATAGTCGGTATTCTTCCTTTATCCTCTGTTCACCTGCAAGTTGATTGAGTTATTGCCTACGGTGCGTCCTGGGACTTGTTGGCTTTGCTACCGCGAGACTGACTTGTATGCTAAAGATAACCCTGTTACCTTAGCTAAATGTATAAAGTGACCACCTAAAGTTCAAACAAGCCAAGATGAAAATAAGTATTAAATAGAGATTTAGTGTTAAAAGCTGCACATAGTCTTTGGCCTATGACACTAAGTAATATCCATTATCTACACTATTCACTATAACATATATTGCCAATCACGTTATTCATTACCTAGACTTCTGAATTCTTTATCCATTACCTAGACTTCTGAATTCTTTATCCATTACCTAGACTGCTGAATTCTTTATCCTTTACCTTTACTGGTAAGCATAAGACATGTTGCCAATCATTTTATTCATTATCTAGACTGCTGAATTCTTTATCCATTGCATCCATTACCTTTACAAGTAAGCATAAGACATGTTGTCAATCGCTTTATTCATTACCTATACTGCTGAAGTCTTTATCTATTACCAGGACTGCTGAATTATTTATTCATTACCTAGACTGCTGAATTCTTTATTCATCACATTGACTGCTGAATTCTTTATCCATTACCTTTGCTAGTAAGCATAAGACATATTGCCGATCTCCTTACATATTATCTTTACTAATTAGAATAAGACATATTCTTGACGAATTATTGTTTGTTCTTCGGTCTTTACCACAAACCTGAAGTATAAAAGAGCTCCACACAGTCTGACACATAATTTCTAAACATAACTAAAAACGAAAACAAAACTGGCAATTATATGACAGGAGAAATATCGTCTATCTATATATTAGTGCCTTTCAGGACATGTCAATCATTAGACTGCATCCTTTGAACAAAAATTTCAGTTTCATTGCTTTTTTTTGTTGTTGTTGTTTTTGGAAACTAGAGACGTTATTGAGATTATTATAACAAAACCCTTGAATGTTTTAGTTAGTCACTTCTTACAGGGAAAGCAGAGACGAGAAGTTTTAAATTTTTCCTTATTTGGTGGTAAGAATAAAGGAGATTGTTTTGGTGACTGCTGGGGTCATTAGTGTTATTTGATGAATCATATCAACAGTGTTGAGAACGTGTTTTTCCATACACTGACAGAAAAACTTATCGGAGACACTTGACGGACACGTCACAACCAATTACAACAGAAAGGGCCCCTAGACAAGGATTAAACTTGGGAAATATGATAAAGATGTGAATTGTTTTCAGTCAAAGATGAGTGACCTTGTGTCCTGCTGTGTTCTATTAAACTTAATACAGAATTAATAAATATGTAAAAAACATAAGCTATGCAACAGCAACGAGTATAACTATTTACTAGTTGGACAAATTGCAGAAAAAAACAAAACAAATACAACTAGGGTACAAACTACATAGTGCGAAGTATAAAATGTACGTTAGTAATAGAGATATCTTAAAAGTACGAAGTGTATTGTAGGAGGGGAACACCTATCAGATTTAACCTATATTCATAAGCCACACATGCGAAAAAAAAACAGCACTAGACTAAATACCGATGCTCAAGCCTACAACGTCTAACACCTAGAACTACTGCTAATACTAGAAAGTAGTGGTTCCTGAAGAAACAGGGTTGAGCTTCGACTAATGTTTAGCGTGTCGAACTGTGACTTACTTGTCTTTTATCACGCCGTTTGCACGTTTTCCTAGTTTCTTTCTCAGAAAACATGAAAATAAAAATCAACATATAACAATAAACAACACTTTTAGATGCTTTGATTCCTTTGTTCTCTTAAGCCTTTCCTTTCCGAAAACAATGTGCAGCTCGAAATACAAACGACTTTAGAATTCATGTTTATTCTGGAGTTAATTTTTAATTTATGACCTTTTTAAGATCAGTGTCACTTTGAATTGTATGACTTCTTAGAAAATGTAGAAATTTCATCAAATGTTAACACTTCGAATTTAAAAAAAATAGTTTAAAACTCAGGCTACTCTCAGGTGCAATTTATTCTGATGTCATCAAGATATTTTGGGATTACTCAATGTTGTGTTTACTTCAGCTATATATTTAAATGAAGGTCACTCTACGACGTTAATATTTATTCCAAGTTCAAGGCCACTTTTAGAATAATGTTCATTTCCGAGATCAAGGTAAATTTAGAATAGTGCCTGTTCCGAGATGAAGATCACATTACATCAAAGCCCACTCTGGGATCAAAATCAGTTTAGAAACAAATCTTTCGGGGTAGAGGTTACTTTACATAATACTCTTCTTATGACTCAAGTATCCCTGTAGATGATGTGACTCATCCTAGATGAAGATCACATTTATTGATATATCTCCTCCTCCAACAACAAGACCACTTTAGATTGTTTGACTTTTTTAAAAATTGCAATAATAATAAAAGATAAGTGAATGCAATTGAGTGGAATAAAGATACGTTTTATCTTTCATCCTTGTTTTGTTCCTAGAATCATTGCAGGAGGACAAGATCTCGGACTCCAATATAATGTATTTTAATCATCATTTGATGATATGGTGAAGCCAGCTTTACATAGTTTTTTTATTATTGTTTGTTTGGTTCTTGAATTTCGTGAAAAACCACACTAGAATTATCTTCTCTAGTAGTCTATGATTTTAATTAATAGACTACAGACAAAGTAGCTAATCAACACCACCCATTGAAAGTTCTTGAGATACTTCTGTTAGGATTGAACAGTGAAATTTTACCTGCCCTATTATAACAGCGCCAAATTGTGGAGTGTGAATCGTGTTTGTTTTTTTCTTTGACAGTAACGAGATGCGAACCACAGAACCTTAGCTGCAAAGTCAGGCACGCTAAGCATTGAGACGCGCTCGTTCGTCCACTTTACTGGATTGCATCATGCACAGTGTTGTATTACAGGAAGACTATTACGAAATTGTTTTGCTATTCAACGTAAAAAGGAAAAAAAGTAAATTTAAAACCATAC